ATATATATACGTAGATTGGTGTTTTATCCACCCATCTGTGCCAGTCTCCCTCTTTCCAGAAGATTGGTCCTTTCACAAACCTTTTCGCAAGTATGTTCTGGTACCTATACTAAATGCCTACCAACAAGTTCCTCAACTGGATTTGATATTCGTTAACGACGCAGACTTTGTTTCTAATTTAGATTATTTGCCACCTTTTGGCAAGTCTGACCATTGTTCACTTTTATCTTCTCTCCAGTTCAATATAAATAGTCGTTCTACAACCGATAAGTTTAAAACCATCAAAATTGTAAACCACGATGCTCTTAACCAAGCCCTGTCTGAAGTCAACTGGCCTGCTTTGCTTAACAACCGTAGCACCCAAGATATGTGGGACACTTTCGCTCAACGAGTCCTAAGCGAAACGGCTGACAATACTGTTGAAAAGAAGGTATACTGTGACCCCTCAAAGCCCTGGATCAACTCTAACATATCGAGGATGCTTCGTCACAAGAGATCTTTGTGGCAACGGTTTAGGAGGAGTGGCCATTCACAAGATTACGTGTCTCATCGATCCTTTTCTAACCTCGTATCTAGAACGTTACATAATGCCAAACATGCTTATGAACGAAAACTCGTTACCTCCAAAAATAAGAAGAAGCTGTTTCGGTATCTAAGAACAAACCTGAATTCCAAAGTTTCATCACCTCAGATCCGCGACGCTGACGGTCATCTCCACATGGATGCCACCGAATCTGCCAACTTACTGGCACAGTCCTTTAGTGATGACTTCGTCGATGAGCCTAATGGAGACCTTCTACCGACCACTATCTGCCATAGGTGTCCCAACAGCCTTTGCGAAGTTGAGTTCCTGCCTGAAGATGTATTAATGCACCTGCGAAATCTGAAGACCTCTTCCTCCCCTGGTAAAGATGGGATGACGGCTGCTGTACTTAAAAACTGCGCTTCAGCACTGGCCCTACCATTAAGCTTGATATTCACATCGTCTTTTAGATCTCATACCCTACCCTCATGCTGGCTTAGTGCTTCAGTTACCCCTGTATTCAAAAAGGGCGACAAATCCTCCGCTAAAAATTATCGACCAATAAGTCTCGTTCCTATCGCCGCCAAAATAGCTGAAAGAATCATATTAGATAAGCTCCAGTCATTTGCTTTCGAAAATGACCTTATCCCTAAGAATCAGCATGGATTTCTCCCTGGTCGATCAATAATGACCAACCTTCTCCACTCTCTCAACGATTGGACTCAGTATCTGGACACAAAGACTCCTGTTGATATAATCTACTTAGATTTTTCTAGGGCTTTCGATCGCGTACCACATAGAAGGCTTCTGTTTAAGTTGGAATGTATGGGAATAAAGGCGAGTTGTTACTGTGGATTAAGGCTTTTCTCACCGGGAGGACTTTCTCTGTGCGCGTCAGTGATAGCCAGTCTCACCTTCATCATGTAGCAAGTGGAGTTCCTCAAGGCTCTGTCTTGGGGCCAGTGCTGTTCCTTCTGTATACAAGTGACCTGCCCGCATTGATTTCCTCCACATGTTCAGCTTATGCCGACGACACCAAGATTTACAATACTGTCGTAAATTCTGCTATGCTTCAACGAGATCTTGATATTGTTTGTCAATGGTCAGTCAGTTGGCTTTTACCCTTAAATCTAACTAAGTGTTGTGTCCTTCACCTCGGGAAGACAAATCCGCGATTTACATACAAGATCTCTGACCACAACATCGAAGCAGTTTCGAGCCACACTGATCTGGGCGTTGTAGTCAACGATCGTCTTTCCTGGTCAGAGCATATTCACCACGTTACATCAAAAGCCAAGAAACTTCTATATATGCTGGAGAGGTCTTTCAAAGGATCCGATGTCAACACTTGCGCCTACATTTACAAGGCATTCGTGAGGCCAATTCTTGAATTCGCTGGCCCGGTATGGGACACTGTGCTTCTGCGCGATAGAAATCTCGTCGAATCGGTACAGCGTCGGGCTACTCGTATCCCTTTTGGAGCACGAAGACCAAGCTATGAAGATCGCCTTGAATTATTCAACCTGACCTCATTCTCTGAGCGAAGACTTCGTGGCGATCTTATAGTTACGTTCAGGATACTTCATGGTTTGATGGGCACCAACCTCATGCATCACATTAATATAGATGAGCAGCGGGTTAAGGTAAAGGTTTTAACTGTGGTTAGCTGGTAGAGACCGTTATACCTGCATGTGGACTATCGAGTTTTGGATGTCTTCTGTAATGATTTTGATATGCGGTCTTATAGCCTGGAAAATAGATACATAAGTTCTCCACTGACTGATTCCGTCACAATTTCCTACGACTATACAGCTCCAACATCTGCTTTATAACGCAGCTATACAATCTCACAAAAATTCGCTTGTAGTCGAGAACTTCGTGGGGATCTTTACCGTGTTTATTTGTATATATACTGAGTGACAAAAAAAGGTAAACACTGTTTATCAGAATTCAAGAATTTTTTACATATCAATTTACCTGGCCATGAACAACAAGTGATCAAATGGTCAGGTTTCTCTGTTAAGTTTCTGTGATGGCTGCGTGTATTGTTTGGTGATAAAGAAGCTTTCAGGAGGACCAAGACATCGTTATACAGTATACTACAGTGTGAACAAGCGTGGACACAAGAAGGCCGAGGACAGCGAGCGAGGGGTTCTGGACGTCCCAGAGGGACCACAGACCGACAAGACGGTCGGTTAAGACTTCTGGCTCTTAGAGACAGATTCAGTAGTACTGGAGCCATCGCTAAGCAGTAGTTTCAAAAGGACGGTAGGTATGCGTACGGTATATCGTCGCGTACGGCAGTTTGGCTTTTTTTATCGCCCACATTGGGTGCTACCTCTTACAGCTGAACATCGGCGTAACTGTTTACTCTGGTGTAGAGAAATAATTCTATTGGGCCGGGAATGGAACCTGATTTTTCAGCAAGACAATGCCAGACCGCAATTACTTATGAAGTTATTGAAACATTATTAGTCAGTTCACGAATCAGGCTGAAAATTTAGTCATTTTACTAGTAAGGGACACTGAACATATACGCCAAAAACTATTAAAATTCGTAGGTATTCACCTTCTTTTGCCACTCAGTATATTAAAGTTGTACGTCCAATGAGGCAAAGCGATGCGTAGGAAACAGCGGCAACATAAGTCACTTGCACGCGTTAAACGTGACCCTTAGATTCCGATCGAGTTTAGTAAAAGAGTTTCGTTTCGCTTCTCTTCACTTTTATCCCACTTAACAAGCGTGCACCTTTATAGGTTCCTTTGAGAAGCAACAAACTTACTGGGGCTCTCACATAAAGAAAGCATGGTATATCAGCTAGAAACACTGATTAACAAAGATAGCCAACCTTATGCGATATTCCCGGGTCAAAACATTAATCGAGATAAAGTGAGATACCGTAGCGTAGTTATAAGAATTTTCCACAGTAGCTTCGCTTTCCACTATATATACTTTGAAAAAGCTAGTGGCTCATAGGTGGAGCTGTAGCCACCTGTATGCTTGTATACACTGAGAACCAAGTTTATCTGACGGCTTAAGTTCAATGTGTACGAGAGTGTATATAAACATTCATGTTAGAAAGAGATAGAAGCCGGCTGGATAGCTAAGCTCATCACCACGTTGCCTAGCAATATTACGCAGCAAGCTGCCGCGTTGCCAATATCTTACACCAGTTCCTTGAATTAAGATGCATTTCTAAAATATGCGTTGGTTTATTCTTTCCGCCCAAATAATGATTTTATTTTGACCGTAGACATTTTTGAATTGTGAATTGTGTTGAATTTTAGGTCAAAATGAAAAGTCAGGATTGGCACAATTATGCACCTTTGCCTGATTGCTTCGTTTGATAACACCGCATCTTGAACATTCCAAGGCAAGGTTTCCACCTTCATGATCATACTTGAGCGAGTTTGGTTAGTACTTATCTAGCGCTCGTAGGGGAGTGTCGTCCTGCTTCGAAACTGGCTTCTACCTTCGTATTACGCGGGCAGTGATAATGTGTATTGCGTAAGGTATATAAGCTCAGGATGTGTTGATTTTATCACGATCGGTGGACATCAAAGACAATTCTAAAATCAATTAAAACCCTAAGTCGCATAAAAATTGAAATGAATAATTCTAATCAAAATAGAAACAAAACAGAAACAGACCTCCTTCTTGGGTTTGACAGTAAACTGACCTATTGTACCAGCCTGTGCAAACATTTTCTGGTGTGAAATTTTGGCAACGCGGCGAATTGCACGACCTTCTGCTTTACCGTTGATAGGCGATATGGTGCCGGCTTCTATCTCTTTCTAATAACATATTGACACACACTTTTCGCGCTTCTCTCTCGTAGACATTGAACCCAAGGGGTCAGACAAATTTAGTTTTGGTTAAGTTCATACCGACAGAGTCATTCATGAGATACAAACCTGAAAAAATTATTGTAAAGTCAATAGAGAACCTAATTTATTTCGGATAACTGTTTGCCTTCAGTTTCAGCAGATAGGGTCATTTTACCTGCAATCGTGAAACTACACAGGAGCTTGAAGCTTCAATTACATACCCTCTGGAAAACTCAATCAAATATCAATATTTTTTCGTATGCGTGATCGCCTAATACAATGAACAAATAAGTAAACGTTTCAGAAACGCGTATCTCAAAGAGAATGATTAAGCTCGATTCTGATGACCTCTTACACATTATTTAATGCGCCTTCTTATTTCTCACGCCTACTGGCGAAGAAATATTGTAAGCACGAAAAAATTATAAAATGACATATATTGTTTTTTTGGATAGTATATGACATGACCATTACAAAAAACTGTGTCACTCAATGCCGTTAGTGTGTCCTTCGGTCTGTCTGTCTGTCGGTCTGTCCGCTAATCCTTGCCCTCTCCTATATTGTGGAAAATACTGCTCGGATTAGCATTGCCTCGGAAGTGCAGAGTCAACCTACTTGACGGTGTTTTAAACACTTTTTTCTGTTCCAGGCGGTAAAGACCGTTCAAATGGCACAAACGGCACTACAGGTCTTAGCGGCGCCGATGATACTGCGGACACCAGTGGCGGCGCAGCAGGGGATGAGTCTTCAGGGGCCTCAACAAAGCCCCAGAGTGCAGGGGCGACCGCCAGGGATGCGGCCCAACGGTTGCTTACTATGTGCCAGAAGGGAGAATGGGCACCGGTGGATCAGATCCTCAAGGCTATGGAGAAAGCTGTGGCACAGGCGGGGGAGGATGCTAATGTACATCCGTTGGCTGGCGTTTCGGATCCGGTAAGGGATTGTGAGAAAGTGTTCGTTATACGTTATAAATAAACAGGGCGTCCCATTTTAATTTCCTCACCTGAATATTTCGTAAACTACGTATCCTAGAAACAAAGCATAAGGCTTTAGGGTTTTGACGAATCAAAATGATGGTGACCTTGACACATCCTTTAGTCATTTCAATTGGAACTCCCCCTTTTTTTACATCGGAATTTGGAAGAGGAGGAAATTCTGTTCGAATGTGACCTTCACCAGGACTAATAAGACATTGAAAACAACTTGCTCTAAGAAAAATATTCTATAGTGCATTTTTGAGGTTTGTCCTGGACTTGGAAAAAGCAGAAAATGTTACGTCGGAATGCGACCTTAACCTGAAAGACAAGGTTATGTCAATCTCAAATATTATTTGTAAGGCAGCCTTTTGATTTTTATGTCTAAATTGCAAAGAGCAAGGAATTTTACATTTAAACGTGTGAATTCTTGACATGATTTTGAAGGTGATGATCAAGGTCATATTTGGGTAACCCTCATAAACCTTACTGTGCTATCAAACATTTCTGCTACGGCAAATCGTTACCCTACAACTTTTGTTTGAAACATTTCTTCTAGGATACGTAGCTTTGACAAACAGGGTGTAAAGTTAGTAGTGGATCAACGGAAGTCAGGTGCTAGAGGACCTCAAAACCTATCGAACGAATCCCTATATGTGTGGTCCAAAATTTTATAGTTCAGGAGATATTTGCGACTTTGTAAAATATCGAAAAAAAAACGGGATAATGAACTTTCAATCGCAATTACAACTAAACCATTAGGTTTGGGTTGTGATTTTTTGTCTCAGATGAGTTAAATGGTTATTTTAGCAGTAGTTATATCACTTTTTAACCAAGCTTATTAGAAATCAATGCAAAAAATCTTAAATTCATTTTTCTGTGAAAAATCTCTTCCATTCGTCAACTTTGGAGGGCGGTAAAAAAAATAAGGTTGTATTTCATTATTCATTTTATTGTAAAAACTATTTCAATCCATGTAGAACAAGCCCTGAAAATTTCAGTTTGCTAGGATAAGCGGCTCACCATAAAAAATCTGTATGGTTGACGCAGGTGGGTATGTATACATGTAAACAAGGAATTCTATTTTACGAGTTACAGTCCGAACGACCTGATGAATTCTGACATATGAGGTACTGTTAGATACGTCCTAGCAGTGCGACTAATACTGTTTGTATCAACATTTTGTAAAATCAAAATGGCGGATTTTTTACGCAAATAGCCAAATCAGCTCAATGAGAGACTTGTATAGCTCAAAATCAACCATTTTCCTTGGAAGAGTTTCCCCTTTCAAGGTTTGCTCATTACCCACTTCTAGTACGATAGGAAGATGATCGCTCGAAATGTCATACATTAACCTAGAGTGCCAGGTAGCAGCGGTGGCCGCAGTAGTAGACTCTTCGGTCTCCTGATCAGTCGCCGTGCGCTGTGCGGGTTCGAGTCCCGTCCCAGGAGAAATTTTTCTCTTGGCTATGGATGCTGTGATTGTCCGTAGGTGGTAGACGGTCTCTGACTGTCGAACGCGGATGTACCACCCGGCGGTTCTCGTAGGCGGAGCCAGAATGTGTGCATGTTGCATGCACACGTGTTCCCTCGCCAGAGTCCGTGTGGCGTCCCCCCCCTTTCCCATGTATCCCCCTATAGCCCCACGGTACCCAATGGGTGCTTAGGCCTTAGGCCTTCGTCGTAGTTGGAGTATAAAAAAAAACATGATTCGAGAAGTGACACTGTATCTACAGTTTTTAGATATCGCGAAGTCAGTGACATCTGGTGCCTGAAAGTGATTAAATGGGTGGTGAGTCGGCTCCTCAGTGCTGTGTATGAGGTAGCCGTTTCGTATCACATGGTTGTAAAGTCAAATCCCACAGGTGGAATTTAACCTAGAGTGCCATGCTCGATGTTTACAGTTGAAGTACCCTGCTACAATAAGCGGACCCGAGCAGTAAAAACAGGACTTCCAGATCCGTCTCTTGCAGCCTGGCACCACACCTGACATAAACCGATGTGATTTTCAACGAGATACCTCCCGTCATATACACTACCACGGAAGCTGCCTCGATGCTTTGCATCTTAGCATTTGTGCTTCTGTAATAGTCAATACCACGTTTTACTAGCACTGCCAAACCGCCACCCCGTCCAGTTAATCTATCAGCGCGGATAACATCATGATTCGGGAAAGCTAGACGATTTCCCGGATTAAGAAATGTTTCCTGCAGCAGAGCCACATCTACGCTCTCATCCAACAGAGCTTGATGAAATTCCCGTGTTTTGGGGACGTCCCTAAGACCCAAACAATACCAGAAAAGAATTTTGATGTATGTAGGCTGTCTGCTATTGTACCTAGCCATTTAGCGGAAAGATTGCCTGCAATGCCTGAATGGCGCTTATCACGGGACTAATAATCTGCTGCAGGGACCTGAGCGCTGTTGCTAGGTCCACATTTTGAGTAGTCGGAGACGAGCTCGAAACAGCAGGGGCAGTTGAGGTATCATCTCTCGGTGCGTCCGCGTATGACTTTGCTCGCCTTTATGTGATGACTTGTAGATTTCTCCTAGGAGCAAATCTACAGGTAGGACTATCTGCTGGATGGTCCCCCCACAGTTCGCACTTCTGCGCACCTCTTGTCCTGTTTGAGGGCACATATGTCATGTGGTCTTGGGCACATTTTAGACACTTTGGCGGCGCAGTGCAATACGACTGTGCGTGTCCATACTTCTGGCAGCGGTGACACTGACCAATGAGTCGATATTTCTTCTGAACTTCGACTGTGATAGAGAGCCCCAGCAATTCGTGTTCGTTGAACACTTGCTGTGACTTCTCCGTCTTAGGCAGGATCGCCACCACCAAGGGCATGGGCACGCCGCCGTTGCGCTTCAGGCGAATGATGTGAAAGGGAGCGTAACCCTTCCGTTCTAGCATCTTTATCCTCCTGTACGGTGATTGACGCTGGAATCCCTCTGATAACAGCATGGATGTTGCGTTCAGTGGGCAAAGGGAAAGTGTGATGAGGAATGTTTTCCTCTTTGAAAACACGGATTATCCTGCGATAATCGTCTTCGGTTTTGGGGATGATACGTACACCAGCGTCAACAGCGACTGTTCGTTCAATACGAATACCAAGACTTACAAAGGAATAGTTTAAGGTGCTCCATTTTGTCGCATCACTCAACACGATTGGAGTAATACGCCCCTGGTGAGGCGATTGGGCCTGTGTGTTTAGAGATCCGATGGATGGCAAGGAAGATGAGTTGCAGCCAGCCAACGGATCAGACTGCACTTGTGGTATAACAGGAGGAGCACTCTGTGTGGATGCTGATAAAGGTCTTTCCTTTGGCTGACTAGTAGAAGCGGTAGAAGGTACAGACACAGAGGGTTTTGGGTTGCCGGAATGTTTGTTATTTGGGGATTTTGTCGGTAACGGAGGAAATTCTGTTTTGCACAGTCTCACTTTGCGACGTCGCACAGGTGTGAAAAGATCACCCTGTGTGTCCTCATCGGTCTCAGTATGTAGGTCACTCGAATGACTGTTATGTCTACGTTTTGCTGTTTTGGAAGAATCAACATTGGGAACTGATTTATTAATGATACTTGTAAGCTTAAAAACCTGGGCATTAAGTGACTCCACACAGTCAGTCAGTCTCTGAATCTGGGCTGCTTGGTCTGCAATTATCTTCAAAAGTCTCTGGTTCTCGTTTTCCTTCTCCAGAATCGGTGTCATCTCTGATTTCATCATTGGCGTCATCTCGTTTTGGTTTTCTGGAATATGTTCAAAAGTAGCGCTGCACTTTGCGCCAACTCCACTCAAAGCAGTAGAGGGGTCGCCTGGGGACCGCTCGGATTCAGCTTCCATAATATTATTGCCTTCTTTCGTGCCAAAATATAAAAATTTATCCGGATGCAAAAATTTGGCAATTAATGGCAGATGATGCACATCTGTCAATGATGTATGTGCTATATGCACCAATATATAAATTTTTACTTCACTATGAAAATAAGATTACAGGCCTTATTCGCTTTGCCCGAAATCACTTGTTTAAGAGTATTCTGGTCTGCTACCAAAACCATTGACTCAACCCTCCTCATTCGACTAAATATACTGATACGATTAGACACAGCACCTATATTGCATTTTTTTGTTGAAAAAATACATTTCACTGCATGGTAGTTAAATAAGCGCGTGGGCTTTTTACAACCAATTGCCGATTATCGACGAAAGTTGAACGAATAGTTCTATGTATTTTTTCATAATGGTCGTTCGATGGTTTGGATGTAAACCGGTAAATTCGACTTTGCCAGCTGTGCGCTTTGTTTCTCCTATGTACCATAAAATATTAAAATACACAAAATTAAGACATTTGGCATTTTCAATAATAAGAAATGATAAATACGATCAAGGTGATTCTTTTGCTTAAGTTATATATCAATAACCAATAACTCTATTTCCTGCTAAAACATCGTAACCATAATCGTTTTTCGGACTTTTTTGCATTATTATTAATAAACTGCAAAGACTATTCAAAATTTCAATCTACTAGATTTTAAATACAGCATTAAGCTCCAAAAGTACTTTAAAACCGGTTTATTTATCAGTGACTCGAGGTTTTTGCACTGGCCGATTTAAATATTGTAACCACGGTTTTGACGTAGTATGCTTGGTCAATTCCGGATTCACAAAAGCACTTTGCTTACCATATTACACCTGAAACAAAACTAATGTTGCCACAGCCAAATATAAAAGCCACTGATCTTCTTAGCAATTAAACATTGAGTCATCATCATGGCAGAAAGGTCAATACAACTTTCACAGAATATACTAATCAATGAGGTAGGGCCCAATACTCTGAAAATAAGTAAGAAAACCTTTATCCACATCCAAAAATCTAGTTTTAGCGTAGAAAATAAGTTACTACACAATGATACACTTATATTTGGTTTAATTTAAAATTCAACAAAGTTATATGGTGACTACCTTT